AAAAAAAAAAAAAAAAGAATGGGAAGATGAGCAGTTGAAGATGGCTAGTATCAGGGAAGAAATCCGTTTCTGTGTCAGGCCTCTACACTGCTCCCTAGGACTAAAGGAGGTGGTAACATCCTGATCTGTTCATTGATCTTTGGTTAGTGGAGCTGGCAAGAGGTATCAGGATGAGGAGAACATCTTATTGAAAACAAATTCATAGGATGAAAAAAATCTACAAGCTTCTTATTTACAACTTTGATGCCCCTTTCCCTCCCAAACCCTGACATGGATGTTTATGCAACTTATGTGTGTTGTTTCTGAAATTTCTAGAATGTTTCAGTTGTTTAATTTGTCAAACTCAAGAGACCTGACAGAAATTTGTGACTTGTGGGAAAGAGCTAGACGACCATTTAGGAATTCTCTGGATGTGGCTCAGCCTAATGCAATGGCTTAACATAAGCAGATTGGCTTTGATCTTTCTTCTGGTGGCATCTTCCAGCAAGTTGGAAGTCTTGGCAGATAACATTACAGTTCCTCTGGTTCAGAAGTTGGTATAGTGAGTTGTTTGTTTGTTTGAGACAGTCTCATTTTGTCACCCTGGTAGTGCTATGGCAATCTCAAACATTTGGCCTCAAGCAATCCTCTTGCCTCAGCCTCCCAAGTAGCTGGGACTAAGGTACCTGCCACAACATCTGGCTATTTTAGAGATGGGGGTCTGGATCCTGCTCAGGCTGGACTCAAACTCGGGAGCTCAAGCAATCCACCTGCCTTGGTCTCTGGGGGATCCCCTGGAAGGCAGTGTCCTTGCAGAGGGAAGAGAACTTGCAAACATTTGAATGAGAGCAGAGTGCTGGCCACCTGAGAGCCTTGTGAGGTCCCATTTGCTACAACAATAGGTAGGTGGAGGCTGGGTCTTGCAGGACCCTTTAAGTCAGGCTGAAAACATGGAGAGGTGATAAATGGCCCTGGAAGGATCAGGAAGGGTGTGGCAGTGTTTCTTGTCTGTCTCTATTTCCCTTTGGAGACTGTTCTGTGCCAATTACCCCATATCCACCTGTCCCCATCTCTAGCCGCCTTAGGCCACTCTGTCGCCATTTCTGTCTGCCTTTGCTTCCATTTATTCTATCCATATCCCTCCCTTCTCTCTCTGATTTGGCTTTCCACTGCCTCCTTTCCACTCCCTCTAACCCTTTATCCCCAAAACATCTGGGTGACCATGGGCATTACTGGACACATACCTTCCTTCTGGCTCCAGGTTCCTGCAAGTTCACCCTAACCAGCCTGATATGGTCACACCCGGACAGAAATGGGGACAGTGGCTTGAAGTAGGTAGAGATGGGTACAAGTGGGTATGGGGGTGTCAACACAGAAATGTCTCTGAGTGGCGCCCACAGCTCAGTGGGTAGGGAACCGGTCATATACACCAAGGCTGGCGGGTTCAAACCCCGCCCGGGTCAGCTAAAACAATGATAACTGCAACAACAACAAAAAAATAGCCAGGCGTTGTGGTGGGCGCCTGTAATCCCAGCTACGTGGGAGGCTGAGGCAAGAGAATCACTTAAGCCCAAGAGTTAAAGATTGATGTGAGCTGTGATGCCATGGTACTCTACCCAGGGCAACAGCTTGGAATTACAGGCTCAAGCCACCACACCTGGTTTTTCTATTTTTAGTAGAGACAGGTCTCACTTTTGCTCAACCTGGTCTCCAACTCCTGAGCTCAAGCAATCCACCCACCTAGGCCTCCCAGAGTGGAGAGGAAAGTGTTTTTGTTGTTTGTTTTTCATAAAGGGTTACAGCCTGAAATTCATTTCTTGTCTAATTAAAGTTGTAGTTGAGGGTGGGCTGGTGGCTCACAGCTGTAATCCTAGAACTCTGGGGAGCCGAGGCAAGTGGACTGCTTGAGCTCACAAGTTCAAGACCAGCCCCACTAAGAGCAAGACCCTGTCTCTACTAAAAATAGAAAACACTAGCCAGGCATGATAGCACATGCCTGTAGTCCCAGCTACTGAAGAGGCTGAGGCAAGAGCATTGCTCAAGAGTTTGAGGTTACTGTGAGCTATGATGTCCCAGCACTCTACCGGGGGTGACAAAATGAGACTCTGTCTCAAAAATAAATAAATAAATAAATAAATAGCATAACCACTTTTCAGATTCCCCAAACAATAGGAAGTTATCTACTGGGGGAGGAGCAGAGGGAAAGGGGGATAAAAACATTCATGACGTCTCTGAAGGAAGCAGCAAGCAGCTTGTTTGCCCTGACTGTACAACCATAAACAGGGATCAAGAGGTCAGGAAGGCAAAGTTCAAGCAGTTGGTGTGTCAATAGCAGTTCCCAGGTGGGGGTGGTGTTTTTCTCTGATCCTCTGTCTGTGGGAGGGGCTCTTCTGGATGTTCCATCCCCGGCTCACCACCCCCAGTCTCTTCCCACCAGTTTGTATTGTCTGGAAACCCTAGAATCCATCACCATGGAACTTCTAGCAGGTCCCACAGCTGAGTGCTACTGGAGTCAGATAAGTCAGCAGAGAAGATGCTGGTGGCTGGGGGGCCAGAGCCCAGTGGAGGACCCCCACTCAGGGCCTCCAGCCAGTCTAAGGAGTCCGTGGGGCCTCTGGGAGAGGGGGATGAGGAGTTCTTAGGGGATGGGAGGGAAGAGGAGAAGACAGATGAGGGGCCTTCAGAGTCCGGGGAGGAAGACAGTACGTCAAAGGAGCCTGGGAAGTCCAAGGGGATGGGGGGCAGCGCGTCTGCAAGGAAAAGAATGGTATGTCAGCCATTCCTGATAGGAAGTCAGATCCAGGCGCCAGACTCTACTTCCCATTTCAGAAGTCCAGTTCCCCAGCCCACTCCTCCCTCCGACTCCTGAGCCCACAATTTCAGCTCCTTCTCCCTCAGATCCAGGAGTTCAGCTCTTACCATCAGGCTCCACCTGATCTCCCAGGATGTCATCGATGCCCTGGTTGGGAAGCAACTGCGAACGGGCAGAGTTGGAGTGAGCCTGGAACTCCGGCCTAGAAGCTGACCGGAGACCCTCCACCCTCGCTTCGACCCTCACCCTCTCACCTGCGCCCTTCGTATCGCTTCCTGCAGCTCCTCCTCCAGAGTCAGGGCCGTTGAGGTCGGTGCCGAGGAAGAGATCAGGGCTGGAGCCGGAGTTGGAGCCAGAACTGGAGCGGTCACAGGGGTATCCGCGGCACTTTGAAGAGGTGGTCTGTGAGATGCTGTATTTGGCTTGACCTGGAACCGCCAAGGGCCAGTACCTATAAGCCACGCCCACAGGGCGCAACCCCACCCACTCGCAATCTTTGGCTCCACCCTTTCTCCAGCACCAACCCCTTTTTGGCCTCACTCCCTATGCTGTCATTGGCTTCTTCTCTCCAAAGATCCTCCTCTCGTGGTCGCCTTTTTTCTAGGCGCCGGACCACGCCCCCACACTTCATTGGCTACTTTTTTCCCTCCGGTCCCACTTTGCTTTCTCCCACTTAGCCCCGCCCTCACCGAGCCCTGCAGCAGGGTTGGTCGCAGAGTTTTAGGCCTAAGGCGCCGCCAGGAACCACCCGCAGGGCTGTCTTCTCGCCGGGGTTTCTGCCGCTCGCGGGGCGGGGCGCCGCCGCGCATGCGCTCCAAGAGAATAGACTTGGTCCCAGACACCGGGAGGCCCCGCAGGCGCAGCTGCTGCCTGAGCTCTGAGACCTGGGTTGGGGGGTGGAGAGAGGCGGTGCTGGGCGAGCTCCGGGGAGCAGGCGGGACCCTGGGCAAGACTTTTGGAAACCGGGAACGGAGGAGGGACTAAGAGTCCGCATTTCTGGAACCATAAAAAGGATAAACTGATGACCCGATCTCCTGGATTTCCATGGGGCAGGGGCTGCAGGGTTAGACTTTTGAGTCCCCACCGTAGGAAAGCACTTACGTTTTGATGGTTACAGCCTGGTTACACCCCAAACTCACCGTCAGCTCCTCCAGTTTAAGGGTCTGAAGTTCCAACTTGTGTGTAGGAGTAGAGGGGCTGGGGACTCCTGGCGGGGAGGTAATGAGGGGAGTGGACTTCATTCTGGCGATAGTTGTGAGGGGGGAACAAAGGTTAGATGAGGCAGGAAGAGGAAAGGCATTCTGGGGTCCTCAAAGACAGGGGCTGGAGAAGATGCATGAACGGGCCCAGAATTCCGGTTCTCCGGAGCAAAGACATGGGGCTAGATTTCTGTACATGGGAAGAAGGAAACGGGAGCCCAGACTCTTGGGTCTGCAGGGAGAGGGCCTGAGAGATTGGTCTCTTGAGCCTTGGGGAAGCAGAGAGTTCCAGGCCAAACTCCTCTGGTCTTGGGCTCTGGGTTTGAGGGAGGAGAATACCAGGATTTGAATTTCTGGATCCCGGGAAAACAGTAACGGGAGTCATACCTAGGATGTGGCTGCTGTGAATTTGTCTTTTCCCACAGAAGTCGCCTGGGAGGACCCAGGGCTGACCCCTCTTCAGCTTGTGGGTCTGCCCCTGTCCCTTGTTTTGGCTGTGGGGACATGTATTGGTAGTATGTCAAATTCTCCTTGGACTTGGACTCCCTCCAACTTTGGGAGATCTTGAGAGACTCCTGAAAAAGTAGGTAGGATGTGCTATGCCTCAGAGCTGCAGGCAAAGTATGGGGTCGACCTGGCACCACAAGTAAGAAGCAAAAGGGGGAGTAGCAAGAAGGACCAAGGCTAGACTTTCAGAAGGACATCTCACTCCAGTAAAGAGTCACATCCTTTGGAGACCTCCAAGGACAATATTTTGGCTCAGGGAGCAGGACTCCAGGGCTGAAGAGGAAAGGGGCAGGGCCCAAGGCCGAGGCTGGGGCCAGAGCTGGGCCTGAGGCTGAGATCCACAGGTCTGGATCTGAGCCTGGAGAGGCAGTGAAGGACCCTGAGAGACCTGTAGGCAGCAAGCCAAGCAGGGAGGATCAAGGTTGTATGGAAAGGAGGGCCCCAGAGTACAGGAGGCAAGCCTGGGGAGCAAAACCCAAGTGGTGGAAGCTGGTTGCTGGGACTTCTGGGTCTGAGGACAGAGGTGTTAGGGGCCCAGATTTTTACATTCTCAAGAAAAGCAGAAATGATGTCCTTGGTCATCAAGGGGTACATATGTGGTAGCTGAGGATAGAAGATTTCTGGAGTTTTGCTGGGATGGGGTGGGGACTGCACCTCTGGTTCTTGGGAGAGGGAGAAGCTGAAAGCCACATTCTGAGCTTCTTATGTGTGCCAAGAGTGGAGTCTGGGATGCCTTCTCCAACGAAACAGGATCTGAATTCAGACATCTCAGGATGCGAAAAAGAAGGAAACAGAACTCCTAGGGGTGGGATGGCTAGGGATCTGGACTCCTAGGTCCTTGGGAAAGGACAGGATGGGATTTCAGTCTATCCTGGGGCACAGGGACTGAGATGGAGGAACCAGCAAGGGATGTCTGGCAGTTGTACTCCTGGGGAGTGGGGCCACCATTCCCTCCCTTTCGGGGCCCACACTTACACAAATCCTGATTCCGTCTGTGGATCCTAAGCTGGAGGACTGTGGAGAGCAGTGAGAGGTGGGAGGAGAAAGGCGGGAAGGGAGTGTCCAGGAGCCTGGACTGGAGCAGTGGTTGTTGGCGGGACACTCATGCCCAGCCCCCTTACACACCCCGAGCAGGCTGGTGGGCGGGCAGCCTGCTCCCTTTCCCCGGCCTCCTGCCTGCTCCCTGCCAGCAGAGTGCTGCAGGCCTGAGCCATTCTGGGGCTAAAAGCCAGCCAGCATGTAGGCAAGAGTTAGGCCTGCCCATCACCCTCCACATGCCTCCTTCACAAGTCTGTGCCCACCCCTGACAGTTGCCATCTTGGCAGCCTGGCCCATTCGCACCTCACTTCCTTTCATCTGTGCATCCCGCTTTTCAGGTGCCTGCTCCCTTCTGTGCTCCTTCTGAGTCTTCGAACAGTCCCCCTCTCTGCATACCCATCCTTGGAGAGAGATAAGTAAGTACTCATCTCTCTGAACTCACCTGCTAGTTTCGCACACCTGCCACTTTTGTTTTTACACTCTTTTCACCTTTGCTTCATTCTGCCTCAATACCCATCCCCCATCCTGTTGCATTCAGTATTTGGTCCCCAGTTTGGCGCAAGGATCTCCCTTTGCACATTTCTGCTCTTTTCTACACATGTGCACCTTTTTGCACACTCCTTGCTTGTTGGTTACTTGTACCTTTGCACCCACCCAACCATGTAAGCACACTTATTTGCACACTCACATACCCTTTGCTTACTCAGGGATTCACCCCCAGTTCTTTTTTTTTTTGCAGTTTTTGTCCGGGGCAGGGTTTGAACCTGCCACCTCCAGTATATGGGGCCGGCGCCCTACTTCTTGAGCCACAGGCACGACCCCACCCCCAGTTCTATTTACTTACATACTTTCCACTGCCCTGAGACCTCAAACAGGACTTTTTTTTTTTTTTTTTTCAGTGTCTCACAATGTCACCCTTGGTAGAGTGCTGTGGCATCACAGCTCACAACAACCTCAAACTCTTGGGCTTACGCGATTCTCTTGCCTCAGCCTCCCAAGTAGCTGGGACTACAGGCACCTGCAACAACATCTGGCTATATTTTTGTTGCAGTTGTCATTATTGTTTAGCAGGCCCAGGCCAGGTTTGAACCCACCAGCCCTGGTATATGTGGCTGGCAGCCTAACTACTGAGCTATGGATGCCAGAGCCAAGGCTTAATAGCTTGTTGTCCCCTCACCTGCATTCCCACACTGGTCCTCTGCAGTCCCCATTCTGCCCACTCCTCTGCTTTGCATATGCCTTCCTTGTTCCTTTAGTCCCTGACCCTACTCAAGCCCACTCCTACTCACTCACTTCCCATTGCTCCCCTGAGCTGAGCATTGTATTAACCATTTGCACACTCATTGGTTGTTCACAACCTGACACCTTTGCTGGACCCTCGTTTTTTTTTTTTTTGTTTTTTTTTTTTGAGACAGAGTCTTACCTTATCACCCTCTTTAGAGAGCTGCGGCGTCACAGCTCACAGCAACCTCCAACTCCTGGGCTTAGGCAATTCTCTTGCCTCAGCCTCCTGTCACAGTTCCTGGCTATTTTCTGTTGCAGTTTGGCCAGGGCCAGGTTCGAACCCCCTACCCTAGGTATATGGGGCTGGCACCCTACCCACTGAACCAGAGGCGCTGCCCTCGCTGGGCCTTCCTTTATGCAAAATGACCATTTGCACAGAAAACACATGCCCCCCCAGACTAGAGCATTCTCAAGACCTGGGACACCCTTCTCCCACCCATGGAGAGAAAGCCTCTCACCAGATCGGAACTTGGAGCAGATGATTTGGGAACGCTGGGAAGAAGCTGCCAGGGTCATTGCCAAGTCTAGGACAGGAACCTGGACAGGGGAGATGGCAGGGCCCACCCCAGAGGGCAGGGTTAGAGTGAAGGTGGAGAGGGTGCCCCTGCATGTGAACTCAATGGGGAAAGGGCCAGAAGTTAGGGAATAGGAGCTACCTTGGGGTATAATTTCTGAGTTCCAGGGGAACTGTACTCCTGGTCTGAGAGAGAAGGTCTGAGGGCCTCAACTCCTGGATCCTGGGAGAATAGGGACCTCGGATCCAGGTCTTCTGGGTTCTGAGAAGGAGCGCATTGGAAGTCTGGACTCTTGGATCTATGAAGGGAAGGAGGGGCCAGGGACAGGACTCCTGAATCTTTTTTTTTTTTTTTTTTTTGAGACAGAGCCTCAAGCTGTCCCCCTGGGTAGAGTGCCATGGCATTACAGCTCACAGCAACCTCCAACTCCTGGGCTCAAGCGAGTCTCCTGCCTCCGCCTCCCAAGTAGCTGGGACCACAGGCGCCCACCACAACACCCAGCTATTTTTTGGTTGCATCTGTCATTGTTGTTTTGGCGGGTCCGGGCTGGGGATTCGAACCCGCCACCTTAGGTGTACGTGGCTGGCGCCTTAGCCGGTTGAGCTATAGGCGCCGAGCCAGGACTCCTGAATCTTGAAGGAGGAGGTTAACGACTGGAACTCAGTACTCTGAGCAGAGAATCCAAGATCTTGGATCCAGAGGATTAAGGAGGACTGACAGATGTGGGGGAATAGAAGGATCCCCCCAACCTGCTTGTCAGAGGAAGTGAATGGGGTGTCAGTTACCACGGTCTGTGGGAAAAGTACTGGGACCAGAGAATTGACGGAAGAGTTAAGAAGGGTCTCCCCTCCACCCCAGGGGCTCCTCACCAGGTGGACTCAGTGCAGCTGTGCTCTGGGGTGGGCTGAATCGCGCGGTCCAGGCTGGATGCCGCAGGCTCCGCCCCTCCAACTTGGGACCGCCTCGGACCCTCCTTCCTGGGGCGTGCTAGTTGCCTGGGGAGTGGGGTGGGGGAAGGCATGAACCCTGCCTGGGACCCTGAGGAGGGGCAAGGGCCTGCACTGGGAGGGCCTGGGGCAGGGAGGATGTCAGGGTTCTCTGGCACGCTCCTCCTGCATGTCCTGGGACTGTGGGGTGGGGTGGAACAGCCACAGGCAGATTGACAGAAGCAGGTGCAGGGCGAGGGGCGTTGGATGAGCAGCAGCAGCAGGTGGTCCTGTCCTGGCCTTGCCGGCAGGTGCCACCTGTCGCCTAATTTTTCCCTGACGCAGCGACAGACGTCAGTTTAGAGCAATGAAAAGTTTAAATTGGAGGCCTGGACTCCTGGGTTTACAGAAAGAGGCAAGGGTCTGCACCTCTGAGTCTGCGAGGGGAGAGGGCTAGACAGAGGTGCTCAGCGACAGGCAGACAGGTCCAGAAAGGGACCAGGGAAGCAGATTCCTAGGCCTGAGAACAGGATTGGAGTATGGACTTTAGGGTTGAACGGAGAGATGGCAGTTCCCACTGGCAGGACTGAGGGCCTGAAATTCGGCAGGACAAGCTTAGGGAGCTGTGTTCTGAGGCGTGTGGGAAGCTCCAGTGCTCCTGGGTTGGATTACATGCCAGAGTGCAAGCTGAGGCTGTGGCTATAAATACCTCCTTGGACTATGCAGGGGCCCAGTGCTACAGACAGGGGCTTTGGTACTTTATTCCACAGAAAACCATCATCACTCGCGCGCCCAGATCTTAACAATCGAGGCGTTGCCAATACCACAGATATCTTTATTGCTCGTTGGCACTAACATTCCAAGCCCATCTTCTCACGGTCCCATCCTCCACTACCCGAAAACTCAAAACTCCCAGCAGTGCATGCGGGGGAAAGAGACTACAACTCCCGGAAAGCTCTGCGCTCAGGCGGGCTCCAGTAAGAAGGAGCTCCCTTGAATTTTTCAAGGTTCGTGCACTCGTTTGCTATTAGCTTTCAAGGAGGCGTGGCCACGGGAGGTCCGTGGCGGTGATTGGCCGGTAGCTCCTGCTGCTCAAGATCCCAGAGGAGGCGGCGAAGCCTACGCAGTTCACAGTGCAGGGCGTCGTCTGTCACCGGACCCGTGAGGCGCAGGCGCGAACTGCCCAAGGGCAGGATGAGGGGAGGGTGCGATGAGAAGCTTTCGAAGATGTCCCCTGAGGCCAAAGAAGATGGGTTTAGATTTTGAAAATGGGAGTGAGGAGGATGTGTTGGGGAGAGCTGAGCAATTCCTGGAGCAGGATCTCCACAAATGCAACTCTTGGGAGTTCCTAAGGGTGATGGGAGTAGTAGTTCAGACTACGAAAAGCGGCTCAGCGCCTGTGGCTCAAGTGGCTAAGGTGGCGGGTTCGAATCCTATCCTGGGCCCGCCAAAACAACAATGACGGCTGCAACCAAAAAATAGCCAGGAATTGTGGCAGGCGCCTGTGGTCCCAGCTACTTGGGAGGCTGAGACAGGAGACTCGCTTGAGCCCAGGAGTTGGAGGTTGCTGTGAGCTGTGATGTCATAACACTCTACCCAGGGGGGGACAGCTTGAGGCTCTGTCTCAAAAAAAAGAAACCACTACGAAAAGCCACCGTTGCCTGGAAACAGGTTACACAGTTTAGTCCCCAGGACAAGGAGGAAGGGTTGGGAATTTAATTAAGTCTTAAGGAGCCTGACGGTGGAGGGGTCCGGAGCTCTTACTCCTAGGAGAGGTGCTGGGGGCGTGACTCTTGAGAAAAAGGGAGGGAAGCTCGAGACCGAACTCCTGTGTCTTGGGGGAGGAGAGGCCTGGGTCCAGCATGTAGATCCTGGGAGAAGAGAGGGCTAGGGAATCTAGAATCCTGGATCAGAAGGAAGAGGGTGGGGATATAAACTCCTGGGTACTGAAGAGAGAAAGGCGGCAGCCCCAGTGCTTGTATCCCCACTTCTCACCTGTGTCCACTGCATCTCGCTCTGCAGGGGGAGGGTCCCAGGCAGGTGGTGGCCCACGGCCAGGCCCCAGCTGGTAGTGGCTGAGAAGATGGTGGAGCTGAGCAGGGGTCAGAGTGGGGTGGTCAGTTCGTAGGCTGCTCCATGAAGCCTGGTGGGAAGGCCAGGTGAGAAGTGCATGGTCATTATGGGGCAGCTGAGAATCATAAGTAGATGTACATCTCTGTAGAGCGTGGATGTGGTGGACAGATAGTGGGGGTCTGTGCAGTGTTTTATGAGCACTGTGAAACTGTCACTGATGTGATGATGGGGAAAGATGTGCTTTTAGCAATTTTTTTTTTTTTTGCAGTTTCTGGCCGGGGCTGGGTTTGAACCCGCCACCTCCGGCATATGGGGCCAGCCCTACCCTTTGAGCCACAGGCACTGCCCTTAGCAATTTTTAAAAGTGTGATTTGCTTAAGAATAAATTAGGGCTCGGTGCCTATAGCTCAACCGGCTAAGGCGCCTGCCACGTACACCTAAGGTGGTGGGTTCGAATCCCCAGCCCGGACCCGCCAAAGAACAATGACGGCTGCAACCAAAAAATAGCCGGGCGTTGTGGCAGGCGCCTGTGGTCCCAGCTACTTGGGAGGCGGAGGCAGGAGGCTCGCTTGAGCCCAGGAGTTGGAGGTTGCTGTGAGCTGTAATGCCATGGCACT